TAATTAAAAAATAAAAAAAATATTTTTTTTAATAAAAAATATTAAAAATTGCAAATAATATATATTTTTTAATGTTGGAAAATATTTTTTAGATTATAATTAAATTATTAAATTAATTAAAAAAAAAAATATTTTTTTATTAAAAAAATTATATATATTATTAGAAATTAAAAATTGCTAATAATATATATTTTTTAATGTTGGAAAAAATCGATTATTAATGGAAGTACCAAGGAGCATATATATATATATTACTTGTGAGTGGCCGCCAATTCTGCACGATTTTGCTTTCGTTCTCCGAAACAGAGGCAGCAGTCATTCTTTAGTGGCTAAAGACGACACCCTAACTTCTTCTTCGTGAATCACAAATAATTTGTTCCAAAAAAAAAAAAAAAAAAAAAAAATATTATTGTTCCTTAAAAATTATATGTTTCTGAGAAATAGGAAAATATGAGAATAACATAACAAAAAGATGAAAATTATTAAAAAAAAAAATCAAACAAAAAAAAAAAAAATAATAATAATAATAATAATAATAATAATAATAATAATAATAATAATAATAATAATAATAATAATAATAATAATAATAATAATAATAATAATAATAATAATAATAATAATAATAATAATAATAATAATAATAATAATAATAATAATAATAATAATAATAATAATAATAATAATAATAATTTTAAAAAATATTGAAAATTCCTAAAAATATTTTTATCGAAAATTCGAACGTGGATATTACAAAGGAATTTTTTTTATCAATTTTACCAAATACTATTTTATATGAATAATTCAAAAAATTAGAATTTTCAAATAAAAATATATTAAAAAACTGAAAATATTTTTATAAAAAATTCCAAAAAACTATTCTTTTAGAAAATGGGAAAATATTCCAAAGTAGTTATTTAAGCAAGTAGCATATGACGTATGATGTCTGCCACAACGTATACGCAAAGGTGGACAAAGTGAAGCAAAGAAAAATAAAATTAGTTTTTTAAACCTTCTCTAAATAAAACTTCCTAAGAAAATAAAACTAAAAAAAACAAATCATATAATTATAACAAAGAAATTAAATTTTATTAATATAATATTTTTTTTCAAAGCGATTTTTAATCAAGATATGTAATTTAAAGCTAAGAAGGGGATGTTTATATATTTATAATTATCTTATATTGTTTTAAATTTCTTGGCAAACTAAAAATTAAAATTAAATGCATACGGGTTGCAAACATTTATCGTCTGACTTTTTTTTTTGCATTTTTCGTCATTTATGTTTACAGAAGTTTTTTTTTGTATAATATTTAAACAGAAATTATATATATTTTTTTACCTTTTTTATATATGTAGTTTTTTTATTATTATTGCAAAAAAAATATTTGCTATGGAATGTTGCAAAGTAAAAAAAAAAATAGAAATTAAATTAACAAGAAAAATAAGTTCAGTAAAAGTATTAATAAAAATAAAAGATATAAAATATGACTTAAACATTAAAAATATATTTTTTTGAAACAATTAACTTATAATAGCAAATGCTTTAGTTGGCTCATTTTCTTGATTTTTTTTTTTAATTTTTTGATTTTTTTTGTTTTCATTTTTATTTATTATTACATGGAGGAGGTTATCTAAATTGATATGTTATGAGTTGTTTATCTATATTTATATATATTTTCTATTATTTTTTTCTGTAAATCCATGGAAGTTGTGTCATTTATATTTTGTGTATTGGTTTTCAGTTTTTTTGTTGTTGTGGAGTTTTGGCAAGATTTGTGCTTATATTTTCAATATAGAAATTAAAAAAAAAATAGATATAACAATATATAAATAAAAATTTGATTTCTTTCACATAAAAAACAATAAAAATTTAAAAACAGAATTAATAAAATTTAAAAACAAAAAATTAATATTTGTATGTATTTTTTAATTTAATTTAATTTTTTTATGTTTTTTTGTATAAAAAATCTTTTTCAAATTTGTATTATTGTGTATAAATTTATACAATAATAAAAATAAAAAAAAATATTTTTTATACAATAAACAAAAAAAAAAAATAAATAAATAAAATAAAAAAACATTGAATTAAAAGTAAGAAATTAAAAAAATATAAAAAATAAAATTTGATGAAAATAATAAAAAAATTACATTTTTTTCACATAAAAAACCATAAAACATTTAAAAACAGAATTAATAAAGTTTAGAAATAAAAAATATATATTTGAATGTATGTTTTTAATTTAGTTATTTTAATATTATTTTTTGTATAAAAAATCTTTTTCAAATTTGTATTATTGTGTATAAATTAAAAAAATATTTTTTATACACAAAAAAAAAATAAAAATAAAAAAATTTAATTAAAAGTAAGAAATTAAAAAATATATATGCCTATATTAATTTTTTATATTTATCAATATATATCAAATGTTATTTTATTTTAAATATTTTTTCAAATTAAAAAAAATATTTAAAATTAAAAAAAATATTAAAAATAAAATTTAATGAAAATGATAAAAATTTGACAATTTTTTTCACATAGAAAACCATTAAACATTAAAAAACAGAATTAATAAAATTTAAAAATACAAAAATTAATATATGTATATATATATTATTTAATTTATTTTTTTTATTTTTATATGTTGTTGATATAAAACAATTTTTTAATTGTTTTTATTTTTGTGTTTATTTTAAACAATAATACAATTTAAAAAAAAATATTTTTATTTAATAAAAAAAACATTAAATTGAAAATAAGAAATTAACAAAATATATACCTATATTAATTCCTTATATTTATTTTTCATCAAATTTTATTTTATTTTAATTATTTTTTTACATTTTAAGTATTTTTTTATAATCGTTTTTTAAATTTTTATTACCATATATGTATATACACATATTAAAAAAATATTTTTTATATAATAAAAAAATAAAAAATTTAAGTAAAAATAAGAAATTAAAAAATATATATACCTTTATTAATTTCTTATGTTTAATTTTTATCAAATTTTATTTTAAATATATATTTTTTTAATTTTTAATGTTTTTTATATATTTTTCAAATTTCTATTGCAGTTTATGTACATACACATATTTTTTCCTCTTCAATATTTTATTTTTAATTTTTATTCTTTTTTATAAGATTTTTTTTTTGCATTTTTTGTCATATTTTTTTTTTCTATAATTTTTCTTACATTTACAGGTATGCTTAAAGGATATCACTAACCTCTTACACATAAAAATAAAAAAAATATTTTTTATTAATTTAATCTAATCAATTATTTACAATATTTTTTTTTGATTGACGATTTTGCAACAACAAAAATTAAAATTAAATTCAAAACAAAAAATCCTAATATTTTCTAAGCCATACATGCCTTTGTTTTTATTATATATAATAATTTTGGTTTTTCTCGGTTTGCCTTAATTTTAATTCCTTTTTATATAGTTGTTTTCAATATGTATATAAATATTTAATATTTACATAAAATTTATATACGTTTTGTGCTTTCGTAACTAAAGTCTTGTTGGCTAGAAACTATACATAAGGTTATACATAAGAAAAAAAAAATGAAAAAAAAAACAAAGAAATAAAATATGGAAATAAAAATGTGAAAAGAAAAATAAAAGTAAATTAAAAATAATTGAAATATTTAACGAAAATACAATTAAAAAATACTTAAAAAACACACAAAAAATTAAATAAAAATTTTTATTTAAAATAATTGAAGTTTGGCAGGATAAAATTAGTAAACAATATTTAATAATTTCTATTTTTTTAATATTCCAGAATATTAAAAATGTTGATAAACTGCTTTAGTATTTCGATTTATTTTCTCAACAGTTTGGAGACCTTTTTTGACTTTTTATAATAATTTAATTACAAAGTACAATGGGGCGTATGAGTATTGACAGCACGTATTTGCCTGAGGTTACGTTGACTTGAGATAAGACATTTTACGTTATCTGAGGAAGATATAAAGATTATTTGAAATATTATTTTAAAAATCCATATGAAGCCTAAAGAGGCTTCGAAATCCCTTAAAACAACCAACGTGGTAGTCTCATAAAGAGAGAGCATTAAAAATCTTAATAACATCCTTTAGAAATGCAACTAGTAGCCTTCTGCAAAATGTCACCAGAAATTCTTAAAAAGGCTTTGATGAAGAGACCTCTAAAATTTTTTAGCGGTAGCCTCATGAAAATGGCCCCAAAAATCCTTAAAAAATCTCAGTGTTTGCCTTACTAAGAGCACCTTAAAAATCCATGTAGATGGGCGGATGGATGGAAAATGGGCCTCAAAAATTGACTAAAAAGGTTAGGTCAATGAAGAAATTTACTTATATCGTATTTCTTTAGAACCTCTTGGCGTATGGCTGTTGTCGAAACGTATACGACTTTTGTTATAAAACTCTCTGCAATTTGAAGGGAATTTATCTGTATGAGTTCAAAATTCTAAAATAAGGTTCACGAAAGTCTTCTTGAGGGGGATTAAAAAAAAATACTTAAACAGATTTAAGTTATGAATTGAATTTAAACCAAAAATATTTATTTGGTACCTCTAGACGTATTGCTGTTGTCAAAAAGTATACGACCCATGCTACCACTTAAATATAATTTTAATTACATTAATCTGCGAGAATTTAGAATTCTGAAAATAAGCAGGGTAAGTCTTCTAAGAGTAGGCTTCAAAAGTGTTTATAAATTGAATTTATGTCTCGAAAATATATCGTATTTCTTTGGAACCTCTGGGCGTATGGCTGTTGTCAAAACGTATACGACCCAGTAAATCAAATGTCAGTTAAATTAAATTGTATTAATCTGGGAGAGTGCAGAACTCACATTTTTTATTGAAATCTCCTGAAAATTTGTTATCTTCATTGAAAATTTCAAAAATATTCTAAAATAGAAAATATATCGAAATATAATTAAGCAGTTTATATTAAAAAAAATAAAAGAAATAGGAAAGTAACTTTTTGATTTCTTAACAGTAAAATTTCAACACAAAATGAAAAAGTAACTTAAATTAAAGCCTAGTTTTTTTTCTAAAAAATAAAAAATTCAAACAAAAATTCATCTAAATATGAAAACTACAACTAGATATTATCAAAAAATTAATTTTTACTACGACTCACATTTCTTTTCTTCTTAATTTTCTTTTCTTTTTTACTTTACTTTTACTACAAAAGTCATTTGTGTCAATGTCTCTAGGTTTTTTCTTTTGTTAGTCAGTTTTCTTTTTCTATACACAGTCCTTTGTCTTTTTGTTTTGTGTTTTTTTCTTACGATTTCCTTTGAAAATATTGCACATAATTATGTTGTGTTTGTTGGTGTAGTTGTTGTTGTTGTTGCTGTCTGTAATGGATTCCATTCTTCCATTTTCTTGTCTTTAATTTTTGCTATTTCCATTGGCCATAGTTGTTGTTGCTGTTGTGCTGCATCATTAGTGAGGTTGGTATAAATTGGGTACCATTCCCAAAAAAGTAACCTCACAATTTCGATGGATCATAGTTCTCGAGACGCCACTGTTGTCGCAGCTGACCGCCATTGCACTCCTCCATGACGATTTTATCACGTTTCTCATTGATCGCCAGACATTTGTCGGAGGAGCCGTGGCGAATTTGTTTCGTTTCATTGTTAAATGTCCAGAACTGAAAGTAGGAGAGGGGAGGGAAAGAAGTAAAACTAATAATAAATTTGATACAAAAATTAATTAAAAAAAAAAAAAAATAATAAAAAATGCAGCATTAAATTCAAAAAATTTCTTAAATGCCTTACAAAATTCACGTTGTAGCCTCATAGGAATAAAAAAATCTTAAAAATCCTCACAGTAGTCTTATAGGAAAGGCTTTAAAAATCCACGTTTAAGCCTCATAAATAAGGATTTACAATCCGGTAGCTCCACAGAGGGGGGTTGGCTTAAAAAACTATCTAAAAAATCGACGGAAGCTTCAAACATTCCTTGAAAAAATTATGAAATATTAGAAAAAATTAGAAAAATTTATGAAAAATTAGAAAGGTCGTACCGTATGACCTCATAATGCAGGCTTTAACAATACCTTTGAAGGTCCATATTGTAGACTCATAGAAAAGACTTCCAAACTTCGTTAAAAACCCACGTTATAGCCGAATAAGGCATGTTGGGCCTATTAAGAAGGCTTCACCATTTAAAAAAAATCCACGTTAGGGCCTTCTAAAATGCCTTAATTGTCTCTGAAGAGAGGCTTCACAAAAGCTCTCAAAAATCCCGGTTGTAGCGTCAAAATAGAAACCTCAGAAATTCCCTTAAAAACCCACGTTGTAGGTCGAATAAAGGAGGCTTTTAAAATCCCTGTTTGAGTCTTTTAAGAGGTCTTCAAAATTCTATAAGAAAAATCCACATTTGGGGCTTCTAAAAATTCCTTAATAATCCTTGAAGAAAGGCTTCAAAAATTATTGAAAAAATCTCAGTTGGTGTTAATTCCCTTAAAACCCCACATTATATCCTCATTAGATGTGTTCCAAGAATTCCATTAAAAATCCCAGCTGAAGCCCATGAAATATGCAGCAAATATTACTTTAAAAATACCTGCTGACGCCTCATTTGGGAGGCTTGAAATTTTTCAAAAAAAAAAAAAAAAAAAAAAAATTAACTTCAACATTGTTTATTCAGAAGGAAGGCTTTAATTTTTGTTAAAAATTCGCTATATGGCCCCATAGGAGAGGACTCAAAAAACACTTTGAAGATCCATATTGTAGATTTATCGGAAAGTCTTCAAAAAATTCCTTCAAAGCCCGCATTGTAGCCTAATAAAGGAAGCTTTAAAAATCTATATCTAGCCCATTAAAAGGCTTACAAATTCATTAAGAAAAATTCAATTTAGGAGCTTCCTTGAAAAATTCTAAAGGGAGGCTCCAAGAATTCTTAAAAAAATTCCGCATGTAGCCTCTTAATATAAGCATCAAAAATTTCCTTAGAAACTCACGTTGGAGTCCAATAAAGGTGGATTTAAAAATCCATGTTTGAGCGATTTAAAACAGCTTCAAATTTAAAAAAAAATCCTCAACAGAGGCTTTGAAAATTTCTTAAAAATCCCTGAAGAAAGGTTTCAAAAATACTTGAAAAAATCTCAGGCTTTGGGCTTCGAAAATTCCTTAAAAAAATCTAAAGGGAGGCTCCAAGAATTCTTTAAAAAATTTCACATGTCGCCTCATAATTTAAGCTTCAAAAAAGGTCCTTAAAAACCCACATTGGAGTCCAATAAAGGAGGCTTTAAAAATCCATGTTTACGCCATTTAAAACAGCTTCAATTAAAAAAATCCACATCAGGGGCTTCGAAAATGTCGTAAAAATCCCCGTAGAAAGGTCCCAAAATTTTTTGATAAAATCTCAGTTGCAGCCTCTTATTTGAAGCTTCAGAAATCCCCCTAAAAACCCTAGATGTAGCCCAATAAAGGAGGCTATAGGTTTTTTTTGTTTAAACCTTTTAGGAGGCTTCGAAATTTCTTTAAAAAAAAAGTCTGAAGGGAGTCTCCAAAAATTCCTTTAAAATCCTAGTTGCAGCCTCAAAATAGAAGCTTCAAAAAAGCCCTTAAAGCCCACATTGTAGCCTAATTAGAGAGGCTTCAAAAATGCAATAAACTTCCATTAATGGAGGTTTAAAAAATTCCAGTAAAATCCATGGGGCTATTAGAGCGGCTTTAAAAATTCTATTAAAAATCCCATCTGACGCCTCATAAGCCTGACTTCAAAATTTCCCTAAAAATCCACGTTATAATATCTTTAAAAACTCATTTAAAAATCTGCATCGTGGCTTTATAAAAATTCCTTGGCTGCTCCTATAAATATACTTCATTTCAAAAATTCCTTTAAAAATTCCATCTGACGCCTCATGAGTGTGGCTTCAAAATTTCCCAGAAAATCCACGTTATAAAATCTTCAAAAACTCATTTTAAAATCCGTATCGCGGCTTTATAATAATTCCTTGGCTGCTCCTAGAAATATACTTCATTTCAAAAATTCCTTTTAAAAGTCCATCTGACGCCTCATAAGTGGGCTTCAAAATTTCCCAAAAAATCCACGTTATAAAATCTTCAGAAACTCATTTAAAAATCCGCATCGTGGGTTTATAAAAATTTCTTGGCTGCTCCTAGAAATATGCTTCATTTCACAAACTTTTATATTTCCAATCCCTGTAGGGTCTCTTCCAAGGAATTCCAAGCAATATCTTTATTCGCACAATCACATGGCAAATAATGCAACAAATTGTCTAGTTCTCCGCTTCACTCTCAGGACTTTCCACACAAAAATGTCTCTTTCTCTTAAAATGTCCATAATGAAGGCTTCAAAAATTCCTTTAAAAATCCCAGCTGCAGCCTCATAAAGGAGGCTACAAAATTTCAATAAAGATTCACGATTTAAAGTCTTTAGAAATTCATTAAAAAATCTGTATCGAGGCTTTAGAAAAATTTCTTGACTGCTCCTTGAAGTATGCTTCATTTTACCTACCTATATATTCCCCATCCCTGTAAGATATCTTCCCAAGAATTCCAAGCAATCGCTTAAATCGCACATTTCCATGAAAGATTTATTGCTACAAATTGCGTCGCTTTCCTCCGCTTCCCTCTCAAGTCCTTCCACAAAAAGAAAAGCGTCTGTTTATTTCTTAAAATGACCATAAAATTCCCTTTAAATCCTACTTTGTAGCCCGATTAGAAATCTAAAAATAAAAATTCCCCTAAAAATCCACGTTTTAAAGTCTTCAGAAACTCATTTAAAAATTTACATCGTGGCCTTAGAAAATTAGCTTTGCTGCTCCTAGAAGTATGCTTCATTTCACATACCTTTTTATTCCCCATCGCCGTAATGTCTCTTCCGATTCCAAATTCCAATTCCAAACAATCTCTTTAATCGCACATTTCCATGACAATTATTGCTACAAATTTCCTCATTTTTATCTCCTCCTACAAGTCCTTCCACACAGAGAAAAACGTTTCTCTCTTCCTTTCTCCGCACAACCCAAATAAACTAATAATCTAAGGCGACAGCCTTGAGGAAAAGTGTGTGTGTGTGTGCGTGTGTTTTTAATATTTCTAATCATAATTCATATGCAACAAAGATAAACGAACACTTATGAGTCTGTCGAGGAACTAAAAGTGTGGGAACAGCTATCTATCTATGTCCTTGGGGTAGCATTTACCCGCACAGATACACCCTCAAAAACGAATGAACGACGGAACAAATGTATGGGCGTTTGTGTTAAGGATCTTTGAGAGCGTTGTAGAGATTTACAAGAATATGTTTGTTCAAACGTCTATTGTATAATAGTCGACATTCATTATCCTTTTTTTTTTTTGTGTGTGTATTAACTTTTTGTCGTGTGGGCGCTTTGCTTTGGAGTTTTAGTTTTTTTCTGATCTGCTTTTAGTATTGTTGTGAGATGCAGTCTTGAGGATTAGGGAGAGTTGAGAATGAAAATCTGAATCAATAATTGATATTGGGATATAAGGAGGATGAAGTTTATACAAACGTTTGAGTTCTCTGAAGGCCACATGGGCGTATGATAACTGGTGTAAAGTATACACAAAGATTTCGAATATTTTTGTTTGATATTATGGTGTATAATTATTGTAAGAATTTGTGCGGAAAAATATCTTCATTGGAAGATCTAAATGGAGACCGGGTAAAGACATTGAAGTAATTGCTAATTATTCTCCAAAGTCCAGGTAGGCGTATGATTATTGTCGACAATTATACGACAAATTTCTCTACATTTGAGTGGTACACATGGTCGTATAATTTATGGCAGAAAGTATACGCAAACTGAGACTCTTAAAAGAAATTTAAATTCAGGATGATTGCTTGATTTTCTGAGGTCCAGGAGGACTCATGACTACTCGCAGTAGACTCATGACTATTTATACCAGTAACCATTGTAAATCTGGAAATTCTTAAGAAAAATCCACAATTTTAATAAAAGAAGTCCCATAAAAAATATGTTAAGAAAATTGTATAAGAAACACCACTATTATAAATCTGGATGCCCCTTGCAAAAGTCCCAGACTAAAGACTAGAAGCCATCTAAACAACTACGAATTCTTTTGAAAAAATCCACAATTATAGGTCTGGGAGTCTCTTAGAAAAATCCGCGAAAGTAGCTCTGGTATCCAATTAAAAATCTACGATAATTGCTTTTTATGTCCCATAGAAAATTTACAGATAACAGGTCTAAAAATTCATAAGAAGAAAAGGTAAGCTCTTGAAGTTCCTTAAAAACGTCCATTTTTATAGCTATGTAAGTTGGTCCATAGGAAATGCCACGATAATAGCTCTGGAAGTCCAATACTAAAGTCAGTTCAGTTCTGAAAATCCTAAAAAAGGTGAATCCAGTGATTGTAGCTAGAAAAGTCCTTGAAAAAATATTTTTAAAAATCCACGTTTGATGGTCTGTTGGTCCTTGAGAAAATATTTTGAAAAAAAAATTACGTTTGATTATATGTTGGTCCTTGGGAAAATTTTTTTAAAAATCCTTGAAAAAATATTTTTAAAAATCTACGTTCGTACGATTATCTGTTGGTCCTTAAAGAAACATTAAAAAAATCCTTGAAAAATATTTTTAAAAATCTACGTTTGATTATCTGTCGATCCTTGAAGAAACATTAAAAAATCCCT